TATATATATGTATGTATGTATATATGCAGTGTGTGTGTTTGTGTGTGTTTATGCATGCATTGATACATACAGGCGGTATATATACGTCAAAATGGTGAAATACAGTGAGTTTTCCTTATAACGGATATCGCGTCGAAATAATGCTGCCATACTCTGGATCTGCATAAAAATGCTTCACTTAATATTCATGATTTTGTGGCCATGGCGGAATGAAACAAAAATAGGTTTTAATATATACTGCAACACTTGATATTGCAACCAGTACATTTTTTCGTTAATATATGTAAAAACAAAGTTGTTTTATATATCTATGATTTAAATAACTAGTTTGTGGTATAAGTATGACGTGCTTTAGTGTTCAATTTGTTATTTTGTTTTTAAACCTAGGTTCTTTTATAAGAACCTTTTAGCTGTTACTTCCTCTTTTAGCTGTCATTTCTACCGCTAAATTTTATAGTGAATGACTTTATTAATGCTGTGATGATTTTCTGTGAATACGTTTAATATGGTAATAGGTATCAATTAACAGTTTGACTCCACTGATTCTAAAGTCATTTGATTTCATTAAATTCTTTATACTATTCCCTTCCTCCCTCTCATGCCTTCTGTGAATTATGAGAGTTGGAGAACGTGGGTATCTTTGTCATTATCAACTGGTATTTGTCACGATATGCCCTCGCTTTTGAATGTCTGCAGAACACTAACTTATCTCATGGAAAGCGATGGACTTGATCGTCACCATCTTTGTAGTTATGATGGTGGTGGTTATGGCGATGGTGGTGGTGATAGTGGTTGTGGTGGTGATGGTGGTGATGGTGATGGTGATAGTGGTTGTGGTGGTGATGGTGGTGATGGTGGTGATGGTGATGGTGATAGTGGTTGTGGTGGTGATGGTGATGGTGATAGTGGTTGTGGTGGTGATGGTGGTGATAGTGGTTATGGTGGTGATGATAGTGGTAGCGGTTGTGATGATGAGGAGGAGGATGGCGATGATGACGATGATGATAAAGATGGTGTTGATAATGATAGTCATCTTTAAAATTATACCCTTAGATGGTATCTGCGCAGCTTCCATCATTGTTAATTAAGTGTTTGATCTCACGAATTCATCTAAGCTATCAGTGATTTCTTTAAATAATCCGATTCTAATTATAAACATGTTATTGACCTATGTTATTTTTTGATGAGACAGATGGGAGTTTTAGCTGTAAGGTTTTTTTATTAATTTTTATTTTTTTAGCTGTTTTTTAGCTGTTACTTTATCTTTGAGCTGTCATATTCTCCGCATTTTTTTTTTTTTTTGTTAATGACTTCATCTATGTTGCAATGGTTTTCTGAGAATACTGGTAATATGGTAATAGGTCTCAGTTAACAGAGTAGTTTGAGTCCAATGGATCTGATATAACGTTGGATCTAAAGTTATTTGATTTCATATGGGAAACTTGCATTGGTCGTCCCTGATCAGGTCGTTTAAAGTTGAAAAAACGGTATAAAGCTTCACATATCTATACGTGAATTTTTTTTTCCCACAAGTTTAATCCAGTGCACTGAAATAATACCAGAACTTCTATATGCATCAATACGTTGATCGTTTTAATGAAAGACGAAATACTTGAAGGTATTTCTGACTTCAGGTACTTCAGGTAGTGACGAAGCACAGGTCACACTTGGCCGTATGGCTGAGCTGATAGAATCCCCCCCCCCCCCATTAATGTTTGTAGTTATAATCACATTCTTAACTATCAAGTGGATGTTTAAGACACACAGCATCGAAAATAGCGTGTGTAAAAAAAAAATCGCCCTCCTGTAGGCTTTGAAACGCTGTGTCAGGCTGATGGCGATGCTGCGGGTGGTGCGGGGGGGGGGGGGACTGTGCCGTTTTTTCACAGTATGGTATTCTGGTGGATAGGGGCGGGGGGGGGTGTTGATAGAGACCCACACCCTCTTCACCCGCCATCCCTATACAATTTTGAAATCTCGAAAAGAAGTCGTTGATTCTATAGAGGAACATTCGACGTAAGTGCATCGTAAAACCATTGACATAAACATAGATAATTTCGTTAGAAATATTCCTTTTATCAAAATTGCTGATCGAGTCAGATCAAGGGAAGCTATATGAAGATCCTGTCTTTTCATAGAGTTGATGCATAGACCAGACATAATACAGGATATGATGTAATGTATTTCTCTCTCTCTCTCTCTCTCTCTCTCTCTCTCTCTCTCTCTCTCTCTCTCTCTCTCTCTCTCTCTCTCTCTCTCTCTCTCTCTCTCTCTCTCTCTCTCTCTCTCTCTCTCTCTCTCTCTCTCTCTCTCTCTCTCTCTGTCTCTGTTGCTTACCTCATTTGGATGCCTTATTAGAAAGCTTAGAAGTGGTTCCTCAAAATGTGATGATGATAATGATGATGGTGATGATGATGATGATGATGATGTTGGTAGTGGTGGTGATGATGATAATGATGATGTAGGTGGTGGTGATGATGGTGATGATGATGGTGGTGAT